GCAAAGATTTACAGATATTTACAGATTTTTCAGTCTTCTGGAACCAGAAAGCCAGCAGTAGAAGAAGCAACCCATAATGCTAACAATCCTTCCATACTGCCACTGGTCACCTCATCAAACCTACATCCTCCAGTACCAGAGGAATGAGCAAAACGAAGAAGAGTTAAAATTTCAGTCTTGGTCTCCTTAAAATGGTGAACAGCATCACCATTTTAAAGTCATCTCTACCAAAATCTCCTACAGTTTCAACATCATTATTCTAAATATCATAAAGTATGGAACACAATTCTTCGTACTAAAGAAATCACACTCCTCTGTCTAAATGAAAGCAAATTAAGACAATTAAGTGGTTCATCACTGAACATCACTGCTTCTGTGATCTTCTCTATTAGTCAGGTTTTCATTTTATGCTGATCTCATGCAACAAGACAAAACAATTGTCCTTACAAACCCGAAATGTATAACTGCAGAATTGTAACAACTGTCTGGGGCAGCCACAGGTCACAAAATTGCTTTTATTTTCATATTTGGTGCCTTGGTTTAAGCCCAGCTGGCAACTAAAGACCACTTCCTCCCAGTGCTCCACCCTGGTGGGAGGAGTACTTGGGGGGGGGGGAATAAAACTTCTGGGTTAAGAACAGTTTAATAAATGAAATAAAATAAAATATAATAATACTGATGATAATAACAAAATTAATTATAATTATGAATAATGAAAATAATGAAAAAGAGAGAGACAGAGAAATAAAATCCCAGGAAAACAAGGGATGCTCACCACCCACTAACCAATGCCCAGCACATCCCCAGCAGCAATTGGTCCCTCCCAGCTTATATACTGGGCATGACGTTCTGTGGTATGGAATATCTCTTCGGACAGTTTGGGTCAGCTGTCCTGCCCTTGCTCCCAGACTTCTTGTGTCCCTCCTTACTGGCAGAGCACATGACACAGAAAAGTCTTTGACTTTGGGTATGCACCACTTAGCCACAACCAAAACACCAGTGTGTTATCAATATTATTCTCATACTAAATCCAAACCACAGCACTGAACCAGCTACTAGGGAAAAAAAATGCAATCTATCCCGGCCAAAAATGGGACTTTTGGTTTGGCACTTCCTTTGATTTCTGCTACTAAACAAACAGAAATGCCATTTGCCAAGAATGCCAGCTGCTTTCCATCATCAGGGTCTGAGATATTCCCTTTCTCAAGACCCTAAATAGCTGTTTTACATCTTCACAGTTTCACGTACATTCTTTCACAAGACCCACAAACCTTCTGTACTCATACAAAGTTTAACAACTATAAAAAAAAAGAATGTTTTTAATTAGTCTCATCTTGCTTTCTTCTCACCCTCAGAAACAATCAACCTTTAGCCCTCATTTCCCTCAGGGCAGCAGGAAGTACAGCACTCTTTTTGTATTTACAATTCAAAACAATTGTTCAGTCAACACAACAGGAGATAAAACTTACCAAATGTAAAGTGCTTGTTGAACACGCAAAGATCAAACAATGTCTTCAGTCTTAATAAATTTTTAACATCTGTTCAACTTTTTATTTTTAAACAATCTATCCTTATTTCATACACGGAAGGTACTAAGCAGCTCAGTAGCTACTGGCTATTTCCTATCAACTCAGTTTTATTAACAAAGAACAGACATATGCTTGTTGGCAAGGAACAACGTACAAAGTACAGAGTGGAGAAAGAAGTATAGTTTGAAGAAGAAGCAGCAAATGCATTGAAGATGACAGCTAAGAGGATCACAATCTCAGCACTGTTATGTTTCCTGTATGTCCAAGATCCTAAAGCACTGGGCAACAAAGGCGGGATATACGTGCCACGCCTCTCTCCAAGTGCTCTCCCCAGGCCTCCAGTGCTCTCCCTAATCAAATTCTCGATGAGGTGGTCTGCTGAAAACAAAACCAACTCTGTCCACAACAAATAAAAAAGCACTGTTGTTTGTGGGCTCTGCGTGAGGCACTGTAAGTAGCTGTTCATAATTCTTCAAGTGTCTGTGCTAATACCTGCTCAGACGCCTGGTAACAGCCTATGTGAAAGAGAGAGACTGTCACTACAGAAACAGTGACTACAAGATTTGGTGTCTGATCTTGCAGCAGGCTAAGGGTCACAGCTCTTGGGGAAAAAAAAAGTAAAGAGATTATTCCAAGTAGCTGTCTTATAAATTTCAGAAAATAGGGATGTTCCTGAAGCATGAAGAGGATGAAGTCTGTGCTTTAGTCAGCTGAGCTTTAATATTGATGCAAGAGGTTTATCAACCATATGGTAGCAGGCTGATATACATTGACTAATTCATTTTGAAATCCTAAGACAAAAAATAGCTTGCCCTTTTACAAGTGCCAAAAATACACACAAAAATATGAAGCAACAGCTTACAAGGCTTTGCTTTATTGCAGCAATACAAAGAAGCCTGAAGTGCGGAGTGTGAAATTTCTTCCCTTCCAAAATTAATGGCCTTTTGGGGAAGAAATAAAAAAGGAAATTTAAGTTCATAGGCAGTGCAAGAAGACAGGGTCAGGTGAATGTCCCCATAGCTTCTTGCCCTTATAAAGGGTAACTGACAGGAGCCAGCAGCAGCTTGGCCATGCCCAGACCTGCAGTGGCCACAGGCTGTACCTGTGGCAAACCGAGACCTGCCAGAGCACCAGCTGTGCTGCCTCTCATCGACAGAGACACAGCGTGAAGGAGAACAACTTGCTTTGCGTTATGGAGAGTCACCATCTTTTAGATACGTCAGGATGAACTCTCAGCCATAGAAACCAGGATAAGGAAGAAGATGAACACGCTGCCTAGGAGCAATCAGCAGCATGACAAAGCTGTGCAGCAATATTGCACTTTAGGTGATCTGCTTGAAAGCACACAAAAAGCACGGCACTAGAGAGGCAAATTGATTCCCCACTCATCAATCTGGTCTAGCACAGCCCCTCACAGAAGAGGGATCCATATATAACCACAGATGAACTTCAATTCCTGACACAGCTCTACAGCAGATTTTGGTTTAAAAATGAAGATCAATAAAAGCACAAGTTTATTTTAACAAAATTTTCCTATTTGAAATTTGTTTTCCTCTATGATATTTCAGCAAAAGCCTACTATAATCATTAAAACAACTTATACTAAAATGGTAAGTAGTATTTGCCCTCTTTAAAATTACGGAGCAGACAGAAGTCACCATTTGGAAACAGTTTTCCTCAAGTTCAAAAGCAGATTTCAACAGGAGAAGCCTCTGGTACAGGTACAAAATTATCACTTTTTCCACTCTGTCTCAAGATAGCACATTCCAAATCCCTAAAGCTGACCTAAAGGTTACCAGCTTGGGTCTTCCTCTATTCAAGTCAAGGTAACAACAACAGGCACAAGGACAGCTACTAGTTCTAAAGCCTTAGAGGGCTCAGGTATCAAAATAATCCCGTTAGTCGACAGATGACACAACCACTTGAAATAGGAAATATGGTGGATTTTTTCATGTATTTTCAGTGCATTTACATTAATTGAAACCATCTTAATGTCAGAATACTCTACATTCATTTTCCTATGGAACAGCACGGGTGCTGAAAATCAAGTCCGCTAAAGGTAGTTTTCTCTTGAAATAAAGGGAAACTAGCAACAACAGAGAGGAATATTTCTAAATTAAACCACAAATATTTGTCCCCTCCACGCAGATCTCAGGGGCTCATCACACAGCACACCAGCACTGTTTTCAATGACGTGGCAAACCACACCTAGTGAGCATGTTTGTGTGGCCTTGTAAATTCACATATGCCACATATCCAGCACATCACCCTAAAAAAAAAAGTATTCCTTCCTGGTATTTTAAACTTATACAAGTTTATTATTTGCTTAGTGATCCTTCTTATCTCTAAGTTATGCAACTTGGGTGTGAGGGTAAGGGACATAGTTTAGCAATAGATATATCATCCACATGAGGCATGTTTGTAAACAAGCCTGTCATTGACATATGTATGGTACAAGTCATCATAGCATTCAGTTTCTCCCCACCTTCCATGCTCCCATACAGGATGGTAATATTAAGGAATAAAGTCACTCTTCAAAGCTGATAATGCTTAATTCTCAAAACCAGATATGGGGAAAGCAAGGGCAAGACAGTGACTGACATACAAACCCAATTTGACTTTACAAGCTGTGGGAGAGGTTTTGCTCCAGCAGTGTCAGCCCTCCAGCTGTGCAAGCAGCTCCCAGGGGGGGAAGCCCGAGCACAGCTCGTCAGGGGCCACTGATCCAACGGAGCCATACAGGAGGGACACGACCTGCCCTCCATTCCCTTTCCTGGGAAGCAAAACCTCCTCTTCCAGTAGTATTTCTCCTGGCATTGCCCACATCTCTTGAGGCACCTCTCTCACTTCAAGGATTCAAAAGAAAGCTTAGGAGTTGTAGGTATGAATTTTAACATGGAAACATGTCAAGTCAAACATGTGAAGAAACACACACACACAAGTAAATACAGCCTGTATAGCAACACTTCAACGAAACAAACTGACGCCACCCAGGCTAAGTGACCCTTGCCAATCCGTCCCCTCACAGGCACCTGCTTGGACAGGAGGCGATGCCAGAGGAGCAGGGCACACACAGCCATTTACCCTTGACTAAGGGTGCAAAGGTACGTTTCCAGGAACCAGCAAAAAAACGCGTGGGCACACACACAGACCTGGCAGCTGGCGTGTTTTGAACCGAATTAAGCTCGGAGGGCGGTTCCAGCGCCATCGCACTGCGAAGGAGAACGGACCCGGCCGGCCTCCGCCCGAACGCCGCCGCTCCCCGGCGGAACCACCACGGCGGCACCGCCGCGGCTGCGGCCCCGGCCCCGGCCCCGTCCCTCCCCTCCGCCGTGACCCTCCGTGTGTGTCTCTCCTCCCCGCCAGGGCCTTGGCCCCGGCTGCGGCCCCCGAGCCCCCCGCGACCCGGCCGCATCGGCCCGGGCAGCCCGTCAGGCCCCGCCGCCGCCCCCGCCCGGCCCCGCCGCCTACCCGGGCTCTTGAGGTTGTACCGGGCCTCCATGGCAGCGGGCACCGCTCGCTGCCTCCGCGGCGGCTCCGGCGGCCGGGGGAGGAGGAAGGCCGGGCCCAGCCCAGCCCGCCTCGCCTTGGGAAACTCCCCTGACGTGGCAGCGGCGGCGACAGCCCCGCCAGGGCCGCGGGGGGAGGCACCTGCCGGCCGGCACCGCCCCGGGCCCGGCCCCGGAACTGCAGCCGGCAGGGGACGGGGTGGTGCGGTACCCGGGCCGCGGTTCTGCTGTGGGGGCTGCAGGAGTGAAAATGCCCCGTCTGCGTGCCCGGCTCGTCTCAGCCTCCACCCACAGAGATGATGGGATGAGGTGCTCGGGACTTCATGGTTTTGAAAACCATGGGTTTGAAAACTGGGAGTTTAGAAAAGGGGCTTCCAAGACCCCACAGACCCAGCGCACACCTCGGCCCAAAAGACTTAACTACTGTAAGACTTAGCAGCATCTTGTTTGTTGGTTTTCAGGATCGTGAAAGACTGAAACGGTATCATACGCCAATGATTGTTAGCTTAGGCAAGAATTATCAGCAAGAGCTTAACTTCATTGCCACCTTTTCCATGCCACAGTCCCAGAGGGATATTTGTTTGCCTCTACAACTTGACCTCTCTGTCACTTGGTTACAGGACAGGCACTGCACACTTGGATAGCACCCTTAAGAATTTATAGCTAAGAAAATATCTAAAGTGGTCAGAATATCAGCAGTCTCAGTTTCCCTTTGATTCCGCACAAGCTGTAAATAAGAAACCTGTCAAAGCTCTTACGTGCTTGTTTTCAAAGCTTATGCTAGCTTTGAAAATAGCTCGTATTGCCCTTAATTTCATTTATGAAATGAATTGTCCTTAATTTCATCTGTTACTTTTATAGTGATTAAAAATTAATTTATTTCATGTTTTGATATCTTAGTTTTCTTTTTCTCTTTCCCTCTGTGATTGAACAGAATGGAAAAGAGTTGTAAACAAAAACATTTGAGTAGGCACATTTTTTTCACCTCTTCATGTTCTCAGAATTTCAAAACAAGGCGTTACTCTTCCCTTTCCTGTTCTGTTCCACAGTGATTTAAGTAAAGAAAGCAACTTTACTCCACCTTAACAACTAGCAAAATTTTTGAAGAGGCAAAGTGATTGTCCTTTCTACAGGGCAAAGCACTATGAATAATAAAAAGCATCAATAACGTATAGCATCATTAATGTATAGGAGAAGGGAAGGGATGATGTCAGACATTGAGGTTCCCTACAGGGTACATTTCATGGCCAACAATTCTTTATGACATCTCAGCATTTCTAGCTAATGATGGCTGATCTGACCACTCGAGATGATGAGCTGCAGGCACTGGGTTCACAAACTATTTTGGTCCTTCTTGGCAGATATGTCCTATCTTTCCTTGTTTCCCAGAACCATCTTGATGTGCTGCAGGAGAGGGGCTCTGGGTCCATCTGTCACTAAATCATGCCCTTCCCTAAAGTAGGAGAGCAGTATTTTGCATTCAGGAATCTGGATTTCCATGTAAAAAGTTCTGGAATCCATTTTGGTAGAAGATAATTTTTGAAGTGGTATTATAACATGAAAAATATAAAGTGATGGTTATTATGAAATTGTTAAGCGCAGTGTGGAGTTCAGCTTTGCCTTCTGGGCTCTGACCTTTGACCCTGGCTGCCCTTACAGTGTCATTTTATATAGTTTAAGGAGGAAGCATCTGCAGTTAACATGAAACTTGGGCTTTTAACTGGAAAGGATATATAGTCACTGTAACTGCATGACAGCTAAGCAATATTGAAAATAAGCTGAATAGACTCAAAGCAACAGAAATTCACTGGGAGGAGGTGTGCATTTTCCCCATTTAAGTAAGCTACAGTGTGGCCTGGCTGGGCGCTGGGGCAATCACCATGAGATATTGTGCAGAGCTAGCAGTACAAGTCTGCTTTCATTCTCAGATGTACTGTTAGTTAAAAGTCAGAGCTGCAGGACGTGAATGCTGCCAGATGAAGCTGCTGATTCCTGAGAGGTACTCAGCATACAGGTAGAGATCTGGGGATTAATTCCCAGCCCCACGTGTCAGCAGCTGCTTGGGACAGATGAGGAGCAGGCACTGCAGAGCTCTTGCACAGTCAGTGTTGGCAGTCAAGAAGCAGCAGCCTCCCTCCTCTTCCTGCCTCTGGTTTAAAAATGCCCTTTGGATTTGTGTTTTCATCTGCCTTTTGTTTTGGCTTTTGCAGGAAGAAGCCATTTTGTGCTAGAACTTGTGGTTTTTAAAAACCAAATGCCAAATATGGTAGCAAAATTGCAGTCAAATCCTGCATGCTCGCAGCACTTCATGTAGCTTGTGTATCCTGTCATATGATCTAACTTGGTGAAAAAATAAACATGCTCAGCTGAAGCACACAGAAACTGAAAGTTTGTGTGAACACTGCTGCAACAAAGATTTTATTATTTAATACTGCACTGAATCCTTGCAGAAAGACTATGTACGACTTCATCAAATTGGTTGCAGCACAGCAAGAACCATCAGTTTTGATAAGTCACAATATGAAAAATTGTGTGGTTTTATTAAATGTTTTACATTGAAGTAAGGCTTCAGTTTGACAGAAAATAAATCACTAATAATTTCTAATTTTTTAAATTTTCTGTTTTCTGAGAAGATGGTTTTACTCATGTTTCTGTTTACTTCTCTGTAGTTATCTTTGGATGAAAACAGAGACTCTGATAGACCCACTTAACTTCAGAGCGAAGGAGCATATAGGCCCCTCTGTTGCAAAAAAAAATTCAAAATTAATGATAATCATAGGGTTTGATAAAATGCATAATTCTTCAGTTGCAGCCATCTCCACTGTGAAAGAAAGGCCAGATCAGAATAAACATCTGGGCAGAATTCCGCTGAACACTTGCAGTCTATGGATATACATTACTGAGCTGATTTCCTGAGGCTTACTTTATAACTAATGGAGAGAACTAGAAGCTTAAACACTAAAGTTCATCTTGTCTGGAATAGATGTTAGCTGTATGTCCAACAAATCATGCTTTAAATGTTCCTGGACTTTTCAGTTAGCTGCAAAGGGAGCTGAAGCTAAGTCATCTGTGTTCTAGATCACTCTAGTTAGGTATTTTTATATGTATGTATAGCTGCATCTGATATATATAGCTCTCTATATCTGACAGAAATATATCCTGCATTTCCCCTCAGTTTAGAAGAGTTACAAGCCTCTTATTTTAACAGTAAGATTCTTGAGGAACTGACTTCATAGTTCCAAGAAGGGAGCTCAGCCAGTAGGAATGGGAATCACAAAGGTCCACATGTGGAGTTGGGGGGATGGACACTAAGAAGAGGGAGTTAGTCTCAAAACCTCCCCTTTCTCTGGGAGGCAGGACACCTGTGTGACACAGGGATTCAGTATTTGCACAAGTATTCTTGCAGATCTCAGGAATTATGCTAGTTAATGTGACACCGAACATTTATTTATTTGTGCAGGTCATATAATTGTATGAAGTAAGGTACATTTCAACAGTGCATACTATGTTTAGTGATTACCTGAAGTCAGTTCAGAGTAGGGTTTGTATGATTTGTAGGCTGTCTCATAAACTCAGCTACAAATTATTTATTCTAGAGATGGTTTGAGATCACAAAAACTTATGATAATACAGTAGTTCTTTGTACAAAGCAATCACACCCTGCTTTTACCAATTCACAAAATGTAAAGTGGTTTGCCTCATTTATAATGCTACACTTTCAATACAGACAGTTGGCTGGAGAATTAAACTTTTATGGAATTAAGGAATCTAATATTAATATGCCTGTATTGTCAGTAGGAACAGATATGACTCACTTGGAAGAGAAATCATTACGGTGCTCATCAGTGACTAATACAGTCTCAGCTTTTAAAATCCTTTATGTGAATTCAGACCTTGTATGTCTGGATTCAACAAGTGCACCTCCTCCTCACTGATAAAAACAAGCATGGCATTGTGTAACCAATGCCCTGTAGGAATTGCACGGAGGCATGATGCTTCTCAGAAAAGCAATTACTGTCTGTTCTTCAAGCTTAGTTCTAAGGCAACCATCTCACAAAATGGGCAGCTTTGCCAGCTGCCTTTCTAATTAACATTATTTCAGAAATGGAAGAAAAAGAACAGGGAAAGAAGTTCCTGGATTGCTTTAGCTGCCCAAGCAAGTGAGTGCCCAATCTGGACCATTGGTGCAGAGTTGGTGTGCAAGATGTTCCACAATGTGAAGACAAAATAAAGGTACACATTTTTCACCTTTTTTTCCTTCCCTGAGGAACAGGAAGAGTCACACCAGTCACCTGACTCACATCCCTCTGGCATCATTGCTGTAATAGTTCAGATGGCTTCCTGGTTCAGAAGACATGTGCAAAGGCCCAAGTCAAAGCTGAAGCTGCTGTCCAAGTGACAGCTGTTTGTGACTCTGAACTTCCCTGATCTAGTTGATCTATCTTTAGCAGCTATAGATAATAGTAGAAATTTTCTCTGGTGCATACTCTTTACCATACAAAATGCAGAGAACACTAGTCTCTGATTTTATCTCTAGATAGTGGGAGAGCAGTTGCAAACTACTCAGATTAAAAATGTAATCTCCTATATAAGGAGAAAAGGCTAGGAACAACCTTTGACTCATTCAACCAGTTTTTCACAATCCTTCCTCTTCAGAGCTTCAGGCCCCAGATTTTCTTTTTGTCACCTTTTCCTTATGTGAGTTGCTCCCTATGCCCCTTCACTTTAACTTACTCTCATAAGCTTCCTTCTGGGAAGGGAGCACCTGTCCTCACAATTACTCATCAGGCAGAGGGAAAGCAGTCAGGGTCACGTCTGTTGGACTGCCATCCAGAAGTCTTTCCACCTCATCCACTCCAAAAATGTTCCTCACTACTTTAATGGGAACTTGCATGTTCCTGCTTGCATACAGCTGCTTTCATACAGCTGCTTGCATACAGCTCCTACTGACTCAGCAATAGCAATAAAGGACTGGTGAGCAAGCTCTTAATTTAAAGCTCCCCAAAAAGTGTTTACCAACTGGTGTAAGGGTGATTAAAGCTTACTGTGTCATTAACCAAGATGTATTGAGGTAACAGCTGTCTTCACCAGC